AAGGACTGGCATCTGATATCAGGATTGTATCGTCGTAAGGTGTGTAATACCCAATATTTCTCGGGTCTGCTAACACCTTCTTTCCCGCTTCGAAAGCATCAGTGTGTTGCCGTTCCCATTTGAATCGAGCATTTTTGTGCAACAGCTCTCTCAAAGGCGTAGTTAAGGTAGATAGATTTGGTATGAACATACCAAGATAGTTGATAAGCCCAAGGAAGCTCCTCAGCTCTTCAACCGTTTCAGGGTTACCGGATGGTGCCCACCTTCTCTTCTGCTGGACTGATTCCTTCACTGCTCAACTGGAATTCATACTTCTTTTCATTCATTGTTATTCCGTAATCTTTCGGGCGATCCAAAACGGCCTGCAGTGCCCGGTAGTGCTCCTATTGTTACGTCCAAAGATCATGAAGTCATCAATAAAAAAAATTACTCATTTAATCCCAACTAGCACTCGTTCTATGATGTTTTGAAAAACTTCCGATGCACAACTCATTCCGAATGTAAGACGCTTATATCGGAAGTAGCCATTTTTGCGAAGCAAATTACATGCCTTCGGTCGAACTAGCAAACGTGATATCCACGGCGAGTCACGAGGAGCCGGTTCAATTATATTCTCCTTTAGCAGTTTTTCAAGTTCTTTCTCTACTTTTGGTTGCAGCGGGACAGGAACACGACTATGAGTAATGTTGAATCGGTTTTACCTGAGGATCTACTTGAACAGTGACCACCTCACCTTTCACTTTTCCGATCATCTTCTCCACCGAGTGTAGAGCACAAATGTAGGTATCAATTTTCAGGATTCCAAGTTTGGTGGCTGCTTTTCTCCCAAGAAGATTCGCACCGCCCTCCTTCACAACGTACACCCTGTCGCTGATAGAAGACTGTTTAGTGGATATTTCTGCGATGAACAATCCTTCGATCGAAAGCCTGGGGCCGCCGTAGGTAAACAACTTCTTGGCAACCGTGATAGTTTGGAATTCAGCCAGCGTCATGTTTCCCTTGGTAAGAATCTTCGCTCGCAACTCATCTGAGTATCCTCGCTCAACAATCTGCTCCTTAATGTTTTCTTGCAGGCACTCACTATACTCACAGAGGCTTCCTTGCTCGTTCTCTCGGTAAGCATTTGAAGCGGAAGAAAGTAATCATCGAACAGCTTGACTAACTGCTTGTAGATGTCCGAGTCATTCGGAACCGTCACCTCTTTTACTCCCCGCAAATTTAAGAAGATGCCCTGCTCGTCACTACCGGCATAATGCAGCAGGTAGGAGCGCTTGAGAGCTGCATTCGTCACATTGTTTACCTCCAAAAAGATAACAAAACTCCGCTTCCACTTTTCCATCGACACTATACTGTACAGGTGTCTGCCGGGTCGATTTTCTGGATGTTGGAACCGCCAGGATTATCGATTTTCCGAAGGAACTGTTTTTCCAGTCCGTTTCGTGCACTTCTTCTTTCCCATTGTTTGCTACTGTTGTTCTCACTGTTGTTTACCTTTGCAAAACTTTTCCTCCGTTTTACCGATTTTTCTCACTCGAATTCAATCACCATCCGTTTGTAAACGATCCTTATTCGATTCCACCGTCGATTTAGGTCGTCGCCAAATGTTGTAACCGGAAAAGGCCACGAAGAAACGATTTCTTTCTTTACGACAAAACACTATCAACCATTTGGTTAAATAATATTTTATACTTTCTTTTCTTTTCCTCTATACACTTTTTTGACCCCAGCTCCCGTGTTGCCAGTAATAATTCATATGCGATACAACACGATATATTTCAAACAAATAATCAGCAATCAAGGTTTCAGAATATTTCATGGATATCCGAAAAAGTTATGGCTCCTTGAACTTTTGTAGCGGCCGTATGACGACAATGATATCCTTGAAATCGGGCAATATAGGTTTCTATCGATCGGAACTGGAAAATCAATTTCCGACGCCATTTTGGAGTCCAATATCGTGGATTGAATTTGAAGACGGCGACCATATGACAATTACGCCTCTGGTACCATCAGGTATGGATCGGGCTTGATTGGTAGAACTCGAAAATCGATGTCCGAGGCCATTTTGGAATCCAAGATGGTGAACCGGATTTTAAAATGGCGAAAATGTTTCAAAAACTTTGGGGTCAAACGTAGAAAGAATTTGATGTTTGATACGTCTAGTATTTTGATTTCTACCCGTGCAATAGCAGCATAGGTAGCTCCATTTACTTGCTGAACATTGCTAGCAGCGAGGGCAACAGGTATAGATGATGAATTTTAAGCAGGGGAGCTATTTGTACCTACGGATACGAATGTAGAATTTGTTCCTCGCTTACCGTTGTTAACAGCAGAGGAATCTGGTCGGGAACGTGGATCGTTTCCTACCTGTCGCTTAGAACGAGATTGTCGGATCGCTTTGCGAGTCTTACATTAAAAAAAAATGGATTTGTGGTTTTCACCACAATTTGAACATTTAAATTGCTTACGATCTTCCTTCACAGGACAGTCGTTTTTTGCCTGAGAGGAATCACCAAAATTCATGCATTTAGTTGGCATGAACCATTTTTTTTTTGTTCTGTGACCCCATTCCTGGCACCTACGGCACTTGATGAGGTTTCGGAAATTTCCTCCAGTCTTCCTGAAGTGTTCTCACTTCACTCGGACATGGAGTATAAGGCTAGCTTTTTTCTAAGACCTTAACCTTGCTTAGTTCACTTGACTTGAAGTGAACTAAATAAAAATCCAGAAGCGCGAATCACCAGAACGGGATTTAATTTTCATTTTGATTGCTTGGACTAGCTCAACTCCAAAAATTTTGTCAATTCATCTTTGACCTGATCCAGGGATTAACCACTGGACAGACCCTTCAAGACAACCTTCAACAGACGTTCAGTTTTGGTGTCGTAAATGAAAAAAAATGTGTTGCTTCTTAGTAAGGAGCTTGAATCAGTCCAAGGTTTCAACCAAAACACGGCATTTACCCTTGCGCGACGGCCAATTTGAAGTGAAAACTTGAATTTAACGAAATTCAAAAGTTCCGTGGGAAGGGCATGGATATCCAAGCAGGACTACCTCAGGTAGGGTCCAAACAAGGATCGAAGAGGAATGAGAATCGAACAAGGTAGAACATTTGCAATATTTAGCACTGAGAAGTGCAAACGTTCAATTCAAATGTGGTCTTGAACAAAATTGCAGCTGAGAAAATTTCACATTAACACAGATAGCAATCTTTTTCGTAGATCATTAAAGCGAAAGGCTAGAACGATGAGAACAAAAAGTTCACTTTTCCCACGAGAACAGACGTCCAACTTGCACCAGAAACTTGTGTAGAAATAAGTGGGAACGTCGCCGTTACGTAGCATCTCCTGATTTCCTCTATAAATTTTCCACTTTCGACCAATTGGGCGCTAATATTGATAAATTTTTGGTTGAAAATTACCACTCGGTCCTACCGGCACTTAGCCATCATGTTGTCAAAGAAGGTTTTTAAGTAGGGAAGTCAGCGTTGGTGGCGCTTAAGTCGAATATGAATCTTTACACAAGTTTTTACAGAAAGTTAGTTCGAGACTCAACGTCTGTTCTCTGTGCTTTACCCATAGTAATTACCATATAACCTTCAAAGAACCTGTGCAGTATGAGTTCGCTTCCAAATGATCTCAAATTTTGGGAGAATTAACAGGACCTGTATTGAAATCTAATCAGCTTGGTGGAGCAAAATCGATATTTTGAATTACTCCAATGTACTCAATTATGTTTATACCAAATAACATTTAAGTGAATACCTGGTAAATTCATCATCAACAGTTCACCCGGTTGTGCTCCCTGCGTCCCTCCTTGTGCACACCAGTGGTAATTGAATATGTGCCTAAATCTAAACCGCGTCCTCCATCATCAGTGTCAATGTTATGGTAAATCGAGCCCTAATCTGGTGGACTATCCTTTGTTTCGAAAAACATTTTCAGCACCGTGGCTGACTGTTGCGGTTCGATTGACTGTACGTATAGAAGAATCCGTCCCCGTCACCAGCGGGATATGTGGAATGGACACTCCGAACCGAGGATAGCAATTAATCATAGATGACACTACTGCACTCGTTGGGGAAATTTTAATGTTACATTGTCTGTCAATCGTGGCAAAAGTGCACGCAAAAGACCATTCGTCCGAAAATCGCTCGTTGGCGCTTTCAAGGAAAATAGTTTTGCAGCTTTTTGTAAAAATATAGCCGAACATGTTCCTAGACGCGACAGCTGTGAGCTCACTGCCCGTTGATGTTTGATTTGCCACCATTCCGTATATACAAAGCTCTCGTGGAACGCGAAAATCATAGCGCTAGGCTCGCTATCATCCACGACACGTCGCAATTCACGTACTAATTATGCATGATCGTGGGGGATGTGTCGCTCTGTCTCTGACGTACCTACATATGTGTTTCAATCGGAATCTATCGTTTCTGCACACACGCGGCCAGAATGGACGGTGACGAGGATAATTGCACGCTGACACAAAAACAATCACCCTGTTCTCGAGAGTCCACTGTAGGAACCTACTAGACAGATGGCATTTCGTGGGATGTGCTACATAACCGAGAAAATTTGTAGCTCCAGCTGCAAGTTGTAAACTACGCTGATTAATAGTTGCAATCACGATTTCGCCGGATATTTCACGGACCGTTAATTCCTCACTGCACCAGCACTGGACGTGTTCCTTTTCCTTTCCGATTGTGCGTTTGATGACGCATGAAAGTGAGACACTCACGAGCGCGGATGTGTGTAATTAAACAGTGATTGCAATCCACCCCCCTTTTCAGGTGCGCTCTTTGAAGATCTGAAGTATACGTCTAATTGGATGTGACCGTTACCATCAACGGTACCATTATATACGCCTCATTTGTCGTATCACACTCCGTTTGGGTCAATTGATCACTTTATTGATGTCCTTGCCACTTGCATTCTTCAAGTGGTGTTGCAATAATTTCATTCAACCAGTTTCGATTTCTTAATTCTGTCTCTCTTTAACAGCATGGCGGACTATTTCGATGAACTTGGATGCGAACCGATCGCTGCGGAACAAACCGAAAACCACCAGCTGATGCTGATGGTTCGCTTCCTGCAGCAGAACGGGTTCTTTTCCGATGAATTCCGATCGGAATCGCTGCCGCCGCCCGCCTCGAAGCAAGTGGTAAAGAATCTACCGGAAAAGGTCGTGACCAAGGACGACGAACGGTGTACCATCTGTATCAAGCCGAACGAAGACGAGAACGAGGTGTTTTTGGTACTGCCCTGCAAGCATGACTTCCACAAATCCTGCATTTTGCCTTGGTTGGAGAAGGTGAGTGACTATTTGAAAAGCAAGCTTCGATTGTTAAGCAATTGTCTATTGTTTCTTTTACTTTTCTTTTTTCTTCAGACAAACAGTTGTCCCTTGTGCCGACAAGAACTTTTGACCGATGATGAAAACTATGAAGAGCAGAAGAAGTTTCGAGAAAGGGCAGCTCGAAGGGAGCAAGAGATTGAAGATCTGCATAATTCTATGTATGGTTGAATTAACTTTAAGATTTGGGTGTTAATGAGTTTTCTAAACAAAGCATACACACATACATTTCAATCAAGGGTTAAAATGGGGTTCAGTACGTTTCAATTTGTGGGCATCAAGGATATAATGGAATAGATTTAAATGAAATCAAATATCTTGTTTTTAAATTCCGAAACTTCATTTAACTAACGTGAATGCGCAGGGTTGGCATGCTCTTTTTCTACAAATTGCTCTTCTGTTTATAACGTTTCACTCAGTTGATGAAACCTAGTTTTACTTTAAGCAATCGATAAAGTAGGATCAGAATTCTCTGTAGACACGCATAGAGTGTCATAAAACAATGAGTTTTCTCATCGAAGGCACAGTTTTCCGCCTGAATACAAATTTACTGTGTTTTAGAGTCTGATATTCTTTTTTAATAGTTGCTTGAATAAAAAGCCATGTTTCGTCAAGAGAGCGCAGAGTTATTAACAGGTGACATCCATATGTGTAAAAGTGCATTTTACAGATTTTAAGTGTTTTGTTGTTTTACAGACTTTAAGTATGAGATCAACTAGGTGAGTAAACTGCAAAAAGCATAAGCCGTTCGCAATATCAATATCAGTACCTACAAAATGCTGAATTTCACTAAACACATTATGTTAATATCAGTTCACACAGTTAGAATATCAATGTCATTCGCCTCAATATCAGTGCACAAATGACATTGACATCGTAAAGGAACTACTGCTATTCAAAGTTCTACCACATTTTTCTTATATACTCCAGCTAATCGAGTACCGATCTTTAGAAAACACATCAGTAATATTAAAGCAATGCAACGGTTATAAAAAAAAAGTTGATTTGTTGCGATAAAAGTGAGATTTTCATCTATTCCCTAGTGATATTCATATGGATAGTAATGTCACAGACAAGCAGACATAACGTATTAAATATGTCTCACTATAAAACATCGTCGCTAAAACATTACCGCCATCTGTTGAGTACACTGTGGTGGGTAGTACACTGAACAGATGGCGATAGTGTGTAAACGTCAAACGCAAGGGAACTAGCTATGCGCGCCACACGTGGCGGTACTACCAACTACGATTCTTTTAAATTGACCGTTAAATGATTGTTCGATGGACAACTTGTTTTCACAGCTGGCCGACGATAAGCAGCGAAACCTGGTGCGGCTAAATCTTACCAGTGTCCTATAGAAAAGAACGGAATCTGTAATCCCTCCAGCGATACATTGCAAACGCTATTGATAGCCACCGAAAGCATCTCTGCAGTGTGCTCTAACGTCCTAATATGCTGGCGATCGGGAAAATAATCATCTTGTTTTTCAAAACCACCCTCAAAATATCTAGACAGTAGTTGCAATCTTACCTTCGCAAAAACTTTATTCTTTCTCATTGCCTCCGGTACCGGAATCGGTTCCCGGAACTGCACGATGCACGATTGATTTTCTGCGGTTTGATTCTAGTGTCTCATACTTTATGCCCTATTGGATTTTTGGACCATGACAATGAGCTTTTCAAGAGGTGATTTTGACAGTTGTTCAATTTTTATTTTAAAAGTATGAACATTTAAAATTACATAAACTTTAAAACTTTCAAACCAAAGAAAAACAATTCATTTTGAAAATATTCGCAGTTGAAACTACCAAATTCGAGAAACTTTTATATATATGTATCAATGTTGCAAATTTTCGCATCAATGAAAACTCAGTACCATTATTTGAGAGATACAACTCACAATGTTCACTTTCCATCCAGGCTCTCACTACGAATAGGACAGAGGCAATAACAAAAATATTCCGACTCAACTCAGTGGGAGAACAGACAAATGCTGAGAATGTGTTCATCTAACCAGACTTTCTCTCTCTCAGTAATTGAGCTTAGTCGTTCTGATTCACCATGCTTCTAACTCGAGGTCTGAGTCAGAGTGTGCTGATAGAGACAAATTGAGTTAGAGTGAGTCTACATGTTTGTTGAAGCAGATGTACCTGGGTACGTTGATAAAGGGGCAAGGGAAATAAAACAACTTTATAGTAAGCGTGCATAGGGGCGACTGTTGAACCTGAAAATAGATTCAGTGTCATGTCGGGGTCGCCACATTTTTGCAATAAACGCACAATGCATGGATGAGAATGAGAATGTTGAAATTATTCATTCGGGTAAGTACAGAAACAATTATTTTTAAAACTGAAAAAGAAATATAAAAAAATCTTTTATGATTTGCATTACAAATTATGTAACGTATGTGGGGAAAGGGTGATTTTTCGTTACTTATTATTACGTAGGGGGCGGGTAATATAGGGCCAGATGGAACAAGAGTGCCACCGAAATGAAAACTGTATATTTAACATATTCTACATAGTTGTTTGCCATACAAAATTACATATTCAAACGGCGCCGGTGGTGTAGTGGTAAGCGTGATTACCTCTCACCCCAGCAGGCCTGGGTTCAATACCAGTAGGCGCCGCCGGGATGTTCTGAGGCATAACATCTCTGATCACGCCTTCCTCCGGATGGGAAGTAAAGCCGTTGGTCCCCGGTTCATGAGTTGATGGGTCGATAGGTAGGGTCCAGGTGTGGGAGCTGCCTTCCTGGCACGTCGGTAGCATTGGTGCTCAGCACGGAAAACAAGATCGACGGAAAAAACAAACCAAAGGAAAAAAAAATACATATTTTTGCTGAACATTGTAACATGCTATCTTTTAAAATTAAAATATGTACACTGGAGTCGCTTTTTACGCGGGTGATACGTCCCGCGTAAAAAAACCGCGTAAAAAAAATCGCGTAAATTCCGAAATCCGCGTAAAAAAACCGTGTAAAAAAATCGCGTTAAAAGCGACTCTAGTGTATAACAATAAACCGTGTTAATTCTGAAATCGGCGTAAAAAAACCAAACGCGTAAATTCCGAAATCCGGATAAAAAAAAACCGTGTAAATTCCGAAATCCGCAAAAAAAAACCGCGTGAAAAAAACCGTGTAAAAAAAACCGCGTAAAAAGCGACTCCAGTGTATTCAAAAATTAGACATTTGCAGGAGTTTTTTAGTTATTAAAAAACACCTAAAATATCACGTGCTGCCACATGTTTTTAAAACTTTTCGGCAGTAAAATAAGTATAGATTCAGAATCCTTCCTAGAATTTTGCGCCAATTTGCGCCGGAAATAGTTATTTGAGGAGCAAATACCCCTAAAAATATCGATTATTCAAGAATAACTTTTTTGTTTCAAGAGATAATTATTTACAATGTTCAGCAAAAGCATGTGTTTAAACATGCAAAATATAAATGTAGAAGAAACTAAAATTGTAGGATGCCTAGAAAATCAGTTATATTAAAAAGTATGATTTAAAGGCGCATTTCACGAAAAATGATACATATCTCGTAATTTATAAGAGCTAGAAATTTTGAGTGTTAAACAAAGTTGCTTAAAATAACATTTGCTACAACTTTATGCAAGACGTTAAGTCTCTATCTAAATCAGATAAAAAAATATTTTTTCGATCTCACTTTAAGGTAGATTAATCACCAAACCGTCTACATCAAAAGAAGTGGATTAACATATGCAAAAACATCTTTGAACAAACTATACCTCTTAAATCAATGTTTGAGAAGTTATTAAAAAAGCGCACGTAAACGGCAAAAAGCAACACTGTGCAGTGGCATCAATTTCTATTGTACTTGTTTGAATGACGAAATTTGATGATTTTTTACATCTTTTCAATAAATCTGAAATTTATGCAGAAAAACATGTATGTTTTGAAAAACTCGTCAAAGCAGTTATTGGAGTCTCACAATGAAATGCTATCATGATTGTCTTGATATCTACCACCAAAAATATACTATAAGCTAACCAAAAATACATCTCATTGTGATCAATTTTACCCCGGTGATCTATTTGCCCCCAGACTACTGTAGTTATCTATAGGACAAGAGATATGGCAAATGTCCACAGTTCACACAATTTTCAATAAAAATATGCACTAAAAACGTTAACTGTGTAGAACCCCCAAAACAGTCCATGTAGTTAATGAAGAGCCCCTATTTAATTATTATTGTTTATAAATCCAAAAACAATCTCTAGCCCTGATTTGCATCGTGACATATACGGATTTCCGGTAACTATAAACTCTGCATGTGGGCAACATTTCATAAATTAAAAACAGAGCACTTCGTGAGCTCAAGCACTAATTTTAGTACATTCAATTTTATGCGACACTATTTTTTGAATTAAAACAGAAAGTGACCATCTTTCCCTCACTGAACTCAAGTTGCCTCGTTAGCGCAAAACCATCCATTTGTTGCAAACTATTTCGCCTCCCCGCAGCAAAATTTAGGTGTTTCACCAATGAAACAGAACGCGGACTGTGGCAGGCAGAGAGAAAAAGAAACTTCCTTTCTCTCTCTTTGTCGTGTCTCCGTATCCGTACATAATAACGAGTAAAATCTTGCTCAACCATTGACTCAGTCAATCAGTGATTCAAGCCACCTGAAACTCGAGCGGCACTCACTCAGTGCCCGAGTTTCCTCGGTATCGGCTTGGATTTGTGCATTTCATAGAATGAACGGATAAAGGCGTAAACCTTAAGGGCACTCTTTCGCTCTTCTCTTGAAGCGGTAGGTGACTGATGAACAGAGACAGTTTTGGTTTGTAGTTCTCTCCCGTGGAGATTATTGTCGGTTTCAAATCGCGGCTCATCAATCAGCAACATTGATATGTATATGATCTGACATTACGCTGCTTTTACTGCATTTGTTTAATGTTGTGGCCATAAAAATTACATGTGATTTTCTACTAGATTGAAGTACATCCTCTTGGATGTAATATTAAAATTTATTTTTGCTGTTTACGAATATCAATGTCGGAAGTGAAATTCAGTGCTGGACTAATATCTTACGTCAATTGACATTGTTGACAGCACGCATCACTGATGCTGAGTAGCAGTCTCATTATTCGAGCACTATTTTGCACCAATTCGCAACTGCTAGACTATTCTGTTTTATCAGTGTTCACTCGGCTGTCGACAAAAGCAGGCCACTCTCGATGTGTGCTACGCGATCGTCTGTTTTCACGGCAGCAACCATTGTGTGGTCCTCCTCATTGTTCTTCATCAGCAGT